GAACTTGCTAATGAACTGTGTAAACCCTTATCCGCAATATTTCAAAAGTCATTTGAAGACGGCGAGCTACCGGAAGAATGGAAGTGCGCACTGATTACTCCGATCCATAAAGGAGGCTCAAGACTTGACTGCGGAAATTATCGTCCTGTCAGTCTTACTTGCATCGCGTGTAAAATAATGGAACGCATTATCAAAAGACACTTGATGAAATACCTGGAACAGAACAAAATATTGTGCGATGCCCAACACGGCTTTGGTCCAGGGCGCTCCTGCTTAACGAGTGTTCTTTACTCACACGAGAAATGGACACGAGCTACCGATAAGGGTTTTCCAGTAGATGTCATATTTTTTGACTTCAAGAAGGCCTTTGACAGTGTCCCACACAGGCTTCTTTTGCAAAAGATCTGGGATGTAGGGATTCAAGGGAGAATGTTTAAGTGGATCAGGAGTTTTCTGTCCTCCAGACTACAAAGAGTCGTCGTTAGTAATTCTACCTCGGAATGGGTAAAGGTGGAAAGTGGTGTCCCACAGGGTTCTGTCTTAGGCCCAGTACTCTTCCTGATTTATGTTAATGACTGCATCAGCGAAGTGAATTGCGAGGCTCTCATGTTCGCGGATGACATAAAAATATGGAGTAAAGTCAAGTGTGATGATGACGCAGAGAAGTTGCAGTCGAACATCAACAAACTGTGTGCTTGGTCGAACAGATGGCTTTTGAAGTTTAACGTGTCCAAATGCGTGGTTTTGCACCTGAACACCGGCCGCAATGCCTCTCCCAAACACCAGTACTATATTGACGGGACGAGGTTAGAAACTGTGGAAAGACACAGAGATCTGGGTGTATGGACGACCACAAATCTATCGCCATCAGAACACTGCAGAAAGAAGGTCAAGAAGGCTACTAGTACTCTAAACTGGATCAGACGTGCATTTAAAATATTTCCTCCTGAACTCTTCGAAAGACTCTTTTGTGTCTTTGTAAGACCTCATCTAGATTATGGAATGCCAGCAGCCTCACCATGGATGAGGAAGGATATCAACTTACTCGAAAAGGTGCAACGCAGAGCGACAAAGATGGTCGACGGTCTAAAGCATTTGTCTTATCAGGAGAGGCTTAATTTGCTTGGCCTATTCCCTCTCTCTTATAGACAAATAAACTGCAGTCTACTCTGGACGTTCCGGATTGTTCGCGGCCAGGGTTGCTCACTAAGGGCAGAGGACTTCTTTGAGTTCGCCCGTACAAACCAACTACGCGGCCATGCATTCAAAGTCGGGAATGAGCGAACACGTTTAGACCGACGAAAATTTTCTTTCAGCCAGAGGGTTGTCAGGCCGTGGAACTCGCTTCCAAGCGAGATGGTGACGGCTGACACAGTTTGTGTGTTTAAAAGAAAACTTGCTCGTCTAGTTTTCGACAGAAATCGGCTTGTACAGCATGACTATGCACAGCCAGTTTTGTGAAATCTGTCATATACAATCTTCCGCACTAATTTACAGTGACCCCATGCACTACCTTATGATTACGATTGAACTGTGACCCAATCACATTTTAAATGCCTGCAATTTTATTTTATGTTTGAGTATGAATCTGCGAAAGCACTGTACATAAATAGGGTCATCAAGGGCTCTGCCTGTAACCCTTCAATATACATACATATACATATACATATGCAATGTTCCAGGCCGAGCCTCATCTCGGAAATGCCGATACGGTGATTTATCCGGCCAGCGAAGCCGAGATTACGGCGTGCGGAGATACACACACGGACACCCTTATCTGGTCCAGCCTGCCAGTCGAAGTGATTACCGAAGTGTGGCCGCTGGGCAGAGCCTAGCTTCAGAGAGCCATATTTGAGAGTTGGTTGCCAGTTAATGGATACTAGGCGTAGTCAACACCTGCAAGCAAGTTAGCGACTTAATACTACCGACACGTGGACCCCCAAATGTACACCCTACATCCCACACAAACCCACACAGATGACAACGATTCGACTGCCGTTGCCGACGATGTCCACCGTGTGCTCCACGGCATATTGGAGCAGGGACAGTGACTCGTGCGTGAATTAGTTTACAGAGAATGTAAACCTACACAGAATCTACCACACTCTCCCCTCCCCACCCCCTACGTGGACCCGGTGTCAAGACAGAGTAAAGAAGACCGGAGGCGAGGGGGGGGCCGGTGGATCGCATGGCCGGACCCGCAGTTAGGCATGCCGCCACACCCCCTGGTCCACAACATACACTCGACCGGGATTTTCACTAACAACAACAACAACAACAACCCACAGAGATCAGAAGGACAAGGATGACTAAGCAGCCATACCCACCACCTGTATTCCCAGCGAGAGCGCAAGCGCATATACCGACAGGGAACCAGGTGTCACGAAACTGGCAGCGCATACCAGGCTGCTAGGGCCATATCACACACTTTCAGACCTTTTGATATAGAAGGGCGACACGTGGCCCTGAATTTGGCTTGGGCCGCCACCCTACAAGTCTGGGCAAGTCAAGGGTTGTCGGCTGAGAGGCACTACGCATAAAGCCCACACTCTCCTCAAATCACGAGACTGCCACAGATGGCTTGTGAAGGGGCAGCGACAGCCTGGCTCTCAGTCCACCGGGTCCCCCACTCCACACAACACAAAAAATGGGCAGACTGCGTAGACTGAGTTGGGGCGGCAGTCGGCTGCCTACCGAGCCACGACGCTTGACGCAGCGTCTTCGTCTCAGACTCCGATAACACATGCAGCAGGGGAGCCGCATGAAGAAGGAGCCGGACACACACTTGCGTGGGAGGCAGCACTTGGGTGCTTACGGAGGGTGATGAGGATGTGCGGTGAGGTGCTAGCGAGGGAGGGTGTGATGGTGAGGTGCTGCCAGAGGTTGCCTACTGCAGGTTCTCGTGGATGCGCATGTGGCCTAATGGACCCATGCGGTGAGTGAATGTGTGGGGACAGTGTGGGCAATGGAGGCGGATTAGACGGGTGCAGGTTGGTGTTTCAGGCACTGGTTCGCCAGTCGCTGTGCGATGGATTCGCAAGTGACCGATCAAGCCGAGATGTGAGGTGAAGGTGCGATCGCGATGAGGACAGGTATATATCAGGCCCTTATCACTGGTGTTGACAATGGTGGTGTTGGTGTTTGTTGGTGTGTCAGGATTATGTGTAATGTTGATGGGCATGGCAGACGCCACAGCGACAGATGTTGAGGCCGCGGAGGAGGAGCATGGCAGTGATGGTTGGGGAGGGCTGTCAGCGTTAGTTGACAGCGTGGAAGGCGAGAGCGATATGGGTGGAGAGACGACGGGTGGTGCAGTCCGGGTGATGCGATTGGTCTAGAGGTGTCCAAAGTCCATGTGGTGCTCGGAATGTCCGTTAACATCGTGGACACGTTGGAGGCGGTTGAACGTTGGCGTTGTGAGGCGGCGACTACGGTAGTTGAGATTTGCGTGTCTTGCGTTTGGCTTTGGCGGCGATGATACGCTTGGATTCGAGGATGGCTGTGGCTGTCTTCACTGGTCTTCTCCACGTACGTCGGTCCTGGGCGAGGGCTTCCCAGTTTGCCGGGTTTATCTTCGGACGCTTCAGGGGAGGGGGGGAAGCGGGGTTTGCAGAGCTTCCTTTTAGCGCTGGACTTGACCTCCTTGTCGCCGTGAGTCCGTCGTCGCATCTCCATAGAAGAGGCATTTGAGTAGCCTTTCGTCGTCCATCTGCACGAGGTGGCCGTTCTAGAGTAGTTGTAGTTGTCTCGGCATAGTGCAGATGCTGAAGATTCCCGTCCGCTCCAGTACGTCTGTGTCCGGAATCCAGTCCTGACACCTCAGCTTCAGTATTTGGCGAAGACGACTGAGGTGGAAGTTGTTATGTATGCAAAACAGAAGGCTAATTGAAAATAGGACGTGTACTGAGTACGATAGACAGCACAAGTGAGGAGGCTTGTGGAAACGGCCGGGTATATGGCAAGGGGGACTGTCATAGGCTGATGGGTGGCCAATCAGCACAAAGACGGTGTGAACAGGGGGCCATGACCTTGATCGTTCGCTTGTCACGCGTTTGTGGCATGATGTCCTGACGGCCCGGGCAGGATACGCTGCATCCCTCCACCCTAAAGTGGAGAGCATGAGGGGGAGGGGAGGGGATCAGTATAGGTAATAGTGGATTGTCAGACAATGTTCTAATAAGATTCGCCCTGAAAGCGTTGGACAGGTTTGCGCTTTCGGGTCGATCTTCTCAGGGCGGTATTTTCTACCTCTGCGCCGCTTTGTGCAGTCACTGGCTCCTCTGCCCCTAAGCTAGTGCAGGCCGGGGTAGAAGGAGGTGGAACATAAGCCTCGGTGGATGGCGTAGTGCCCTGTGCAGGAAGTGGGGGCTCAGTCCTCGGGATGTCAGGATCCCTATCAAGGGTTGCTGGCAGTTCTAACTCTCCGAATTCTCCACTTACTGTGTCCGTTCGGCTGCGAACTTGGTCCAGATGTCGACGCACAATTCTCCCACCTTCTAACTCTAATTCCACCATTTGACCCTCGCTTTTTCGAACTACCGCTGGACACCAATTCGTTTCGTGTTCCAGTCGCGTGTAGACACTTTCGTTGGGCGCGACGACTCGTGGTCGGGTGCTCACATAATATCGTTCTTTCATGCTCGTCTGTTTTGCAATGACCCTATCCTTCGTTGATGGATTAAGCAGGTCGAGTCGTGTGCGCAACTGTCGCTTGAACATCAATTCTGCAGGCGAAGCACCAGTTGAGTCGTTCGGTGTTATGCGATAGCTAAACAGAAAGCGTGACAACTTGGTGGCCAAGTCCGCTTCTGTCTGTCTGGCTAGTCCGTGCTTTATTGTCTGGACTGCACGCTCTGCGAGGTCATTTGAAGCAGCGTGGTACGGGGCAGTAGTTAAATGTCTAATTCCATTTTTCTCCATGAAATCTTTAAATTCTGCGCTAGTAAAGGCCGGGCCATTGTCTGAAACGACCATTTCAGGTATCCCAAAAGTAGAAAAGACGGTTCGCAACTTGTTGATTGTAGTCAGTGAGGAACAAGAATTTCCTGTCGGAATCGCATCAGTCCATTTAGTGTGGGCGTCAACTACCACCAAAACCATATGGCCTTGGAATGGCCCAAAATAATCGACGTGTACCCTCTTCCACGGCGAGTCGGGCCAGGCCCAAGGCTTCAGAGGAACCGTCGGTAAGGTCTTCTGTGTTATTTGGCACACGTTACATGCTTTCACCACGTTTTCTATATCTGCGTCAATTTTAGGCCACCAAACATAGCTGCGGGCGAGAGCTTTCATTCTAACTGTACCAGGATGAGCATTATGCAGGTCTCTGAGGATGGCCCGTCGGCCTTGTGGTGGCACAACTACACGATTGCCCCATAGTATGCATCCGTCTTGTAGACTTAACTCGTTCTGACGGCTGAAGAATGGTTGAAAATCAGAGGAAGTAGAGGACGGCCAGCCAGATTGTAAGGCTCTTTTTACCCGACTTAGGAGAGGGTCTCTCGATGTCCACTGTCGACTTTGTTGACAGGTTACAGGCGCGTTGACTAGATTCTGCAAAAGATTCACGGTCTCAAAAGCAGGTGCCCCGTTAATGCCATCGTCCACGATAGGAAGCCTACTCAAGGCGTCAGCCACTACGCTTGCACTACCTGTAACTTATTTCATTGCATACGTGTAAGCAGATAAAGTGAGTGTCCATCGTTGCATTCTTGGCAAGGACATCTGTTGTATCTCTCGTTTTTCTCCCAGCAAACCTAAGAGGGGTTTGTGATCAGTGCGAATTTCAAAGTGTCGGCCAAAACGATACAGGTGGAACCGATGTAGGCCAAACATTATTGCTAAGGCCTCTTTGTCTAGTTGCGAATAATTGGTTTCCGCCTGTGACATGGTTCTTGATGCAAAAGCAATCGGCATCTCCGAACCCGAAGCCATTCGATGCATGAGAAACGCACCTACGCCGTACGGAGACGCATCACATTTCAGTATGATAGGCTTTTCGGGGTCATAGTGAACTAGGACAGATGAGGAGGTAAGAGCCGCCTTTGCCTGTTCGAAAGCACTTTGTTCGACCTCCGACCAGTGCCAACCACAATTCTTTTCAAGTAGTCGATAAAGAGGCTTGAGAATTGTAGCCGATTGATTCATAAAGCGACTAAAGTGGGTGACCAACCCCAGGAATGAACGCAATTGACTAGTATTGTTGGGGCGCGGCGCCGTCTTCAAGGCTTTGAGCTTATGTTCGAGTGGATGGAGGCCAGTTTTATCCACCCTGAAGCCCAGGTATTCTACCGAGTCGGCAAGGAAAGTGCACTTATCTTTCCTGAGTTTAAAACCGGCGTCCTCTAAACATCCTAACACGATGTTTAGAGTCTCTAGATGACTATGTTCAGATGGGCCGGTAACTAATATATCGTCAAGATATGCGCAAACGTGAGGTATATCCTTCACGAGATTATCAATCAAGCATTGAAATAAACCGGGAGCCGAACTTACTCCAAATGGTAGTCTTTTATATCGAAATAAACCCCGATGCGTATTGATGGTGGTGGCGTCTCGGGATTAAGTATCTAGGACGACTTGGTTGTAGGCATGCTTTAGGTCCTAAGTTGTAAATTGATGACCACCCGAGAGAGATGCGTACAGATCCTCGATGCGCGGGAGAGGATAAGGGTTCAGTTTAGTTGCTCAGTTGATTGTCAGCTTGTGGTCGCCACAGATACGCACAGAACCATCGGTTTTAAGAACAGGAACTATTGGAGCTGCCCATTCCGAATATTGCACGGGCTCAATAATATCCGCTTTCTGTAGGCGATCCAGCTCTTCTTCGACCTTCGGTGCGAGTGCATAGGGGACTGTACGAGCTTTCAAGAACCGGGGCCGGAAATCTGACTGAAACTGAAACTTAACAGGTGGACCGCGGTAGTGGGTAGCTGAATCGTCACAAAATAGATCCTTATGATTTACCAAAATTGAATCTAAAGCCGGATTTACACCAATCCGATGTACATAGGATAGCACAGAAGGCACACATTTAATCCAATTTCGTCCAAGGAGATTCGGTTGCTGGCTTCCTCTCACCACATGAACCGGCAAGTAATGAAGTTCTCCATCATGTTCGACTTCGGCTGTAAAGACCCCTCGAACGTCTACGTTCTGTCCAGTGTAACTACGGAATGTTGAGCTAGCCGGTAGGAGGGAGGGTACTTTCTGAAGAGAGGCCTCATTGATGAGAGTAACAGCTGAGGCAGTGTCGATTTCAAACTTCACGGGATGGTGATCAACCGGAAGCGTGATGGTGTAGGGGGATTGGAGAGTAGCGTTGGCCGGAAACATTCGGAGTATCGCCTCACCATCCCCAGCTGGACTAGGGTAGGTCGCATGCGTGTTACTATTCGCTCGTCTTTTGGAGAAACACACTCGTTCGATGTGGCCGACTTTCTTGCAAAACTGGCATACCGTCTTCTGGTGTCTACAGTCTGACCACCGGATATGATGCTGGACACAACGGTAGCATGATGGTAGTTGTTTTGAGGGAGCTGAGGGTCGCTGTCTAGGTGAAGACACAGCAGTGTTGACCAGGGAGACAGCCATTTCCGATTCCAAGGATGCTATCACTCCATCGTTTGACTGATTCAGCTGCTGAAGGTTTTGCCGCACGCGCTTCTGATGACTGGCAATATCACAGGCTTTCTCCCATAACAAATCCTTCTTCTCTGATAAGAGATTTTCCCGAGCTTTTTCATCGCGTAGACCGACGATCAACTGCTGAACGAGCATTGCGTGCTCGAAGTTGTCTGCCTTGATCTCTTTATACCCACAGTCCTGAATGGCCAGAGTCAGATTAGTAATAAAATCACTGACACATTGATTGGATTCTTGACGCATTTAACAAAACCGATAGCGACTGAGAAAGACGTTGTCCTTTCCTCCCCACGCTGACTCGAGTTTTGAGAAGGCTGTTTGGATATCTATAGCCTTTTGTAGATTGAGGGCATCGAAATATCGTTGTCCCAACTCTCCGAGATTCGTCCGGAGGAGTTTCAACTTAGATGGGACGTCTAGTACAATCGTGGGTGACAAAATCGGGAGTAGTTCAATATAATCCTCAAATGTCTTCCTCCATTGCAACCACGAGTCATTTGAGGGCTTCGGGGTGTTCTTTGGCCAAAAAGGTAGCGGTGTAGGCAGCAATGAAGACATGTTCGTTAGGCTGCGTCGCCAATGTTATGTATGCAAAACAGAAGGCTAATTGGAAATAGGACGTGTACTGAGTACGATAGACAGCACAAGTGAGGAGGCTTGTGGAAACGGCCGGGTATATGACAAGGGGGACTGTCATAGGCTGATGGGTGGCCAATCAGCACAAAGACGGTGTGAACAGGGGGCCATGACCTTGATCGTTCGCTTGTCACGCGTTTGTGGCATGATGTCCTGACGGCCCGGGCAGGATACGCTGCAGAAGTGACTGAGTCTACGTGCCTGCTTCACGTACACCGTCTAGGTCTCCCATCCATGCAACAACGTCGATAGAATGACGACTCTGTACATCTTCAGTTTCGCGATGAGTTGAAGATCGTGACGATTCAAAACTGTGTTCCGAAGACGACCGAAGGCTTGACTGGCCTCGGAAATTTGGCGGGCCACTTCACCGTCGATCTTGATGCTGCGGGATTTGGTGTTGCCCAGATACGTAAAGTTGTCCACACACCAGCAAACATTAACCCCCCTCCCCACCATCAACCCCACTGACGTGAACTCGATTCATACCTGTCCTCATTGTGACTGCACCTTCACCTCAGACATCGGCTTGGTCGGTCACTTGCGAATCTATCGCACAGAGGCTGGCGAACCAGTGCCAGGAGAACCAACCTACATTCGCCGCGTTCGCCTCCACTGTTCACACTGTCCCGCATAGTCACGTACTGCATGGGTCTATTCGGTTACATGCTTATCCACGAGAGCAAAATTAGACATAGTCTCGACATATCTAGCACCTCCTGCACATCAGCCATTCCTAGCTCAACCGACACCCGCCGCGCAGCGCGTTAACAGCTCCACCAGTGCCAACATCTCTGGAACCGATACTGACGCCGCCGAATTTTCCTGTCCAAACTGCCCCATTACATTCACCTCACGCATCGGTGTGGCCGGTCACCTGAGAATCCATTGCAGAGGCTGTCAAGCCAGTACCTAGAGCACCAACATACACCAGACGCATCCGTCTCAACTGCCCTCACTGCCCAGTACATTCACCCACCACATGGGCCTATTAGGCCAGATGCGCGTTCACGGAAACCTGCGATGGCCCTTATGGGATTCTTACCCGTATAAGATCCGAGCCGCACCTGCAATAGCCTGGTGGATCTCGAGCAAAGACCAGGCCGTATGTGTGTCACGCGTGTATGGACTGCCGAGCTTTGTCGGCCACTGAATCCTTACCGATCCCCGATCATTCTGACATTGCCTTGCCATCGGAGCCTGATGAGCGAGAGCGGGGAGAGTGCAAGAGACGCTTCAGAAGTGGCCGGTGCTACGCCTACCCTGTGGATAACGAAACGGACAGCGTCGTTAGCGAGGAACTGCCGAGTGGGAGGTGTGCGTCAAAACCCGTTTCACCACACTCCGAGGACAGTTATTAGCTGAAAGCACCGACAGCAGTCTTGCTGGTCTCCTGCGTGGCTCAACTTCTAAGTTCGGTCCAGCAGTGCTTCCCCAAGAATTGCCCACGTTGATAGTCCAAAAGAACGTCCGCGATGCGAAGCGCCTGCCGATGATCGTAGTAGACGCATTGTATACTCAAGTAATGTAGGGTGGGGATATAAATCCCACATAGGAGAACAGACCGTCTGGTTGGCTCATAATTAACTTGTTACAGAAAAGTGCAGATTCATGCTATGACCCAAGGAACAACCCGACTCTCCGAGATTTCGCAGGCGTGCTATCTCATTAAACGCTAATCCAAATTCTGAAATAAGTTTTCGGCCCAAAAATACTGAAAGAGGTTGTAATATTATCGTGAAGCATAGCCATAAGATATTTCAGTCACGTTACGATGCCCGCCTTTAAATAAGCATCTCTTCGGCCGTTCGTAAAAACTACATTTTGCAAAAAGTGATCACTTATGTTGTCTGAATTTTCCAATTGATTTTCGATAATCCTATAAATTGAACTATATTCTATGGGAAACGCGCACAAAAGCATTCCCCTGTAGTAATTTGGTAGCGATTTACATCTTCAAATTGCCCCCTTGACTACTTAAGTAGTATGCAATTTTCTCATTGATTTTCGATGCCCTTGAAAATTCAATTATATTTCATGGAAAGCATGCATAAAAATATTCATTCATTTACTTATTCGGTAGAAAATCACGTCTTCTTCCAATTTCATACTCAAAAGAAGAGTATAATTCGGTTTTAAAAAAACTTTTCTAATTCCCGAATAATTTTGAACCCGACCTGCTGTTACACTTGCATTCAGGGTTTCAAAACTACAAGCTGTATATTTTCCGTGTACGGAAAACCATGCATTTCTCTACGGTGTTAAGAGGAGACCATATGAGTTTCATAAAATTAAGCAGTGGATTTGAGCAATATTGCTAGCTTTACAAACCACATTCGTAAATACAGATACATGACGTTTAATGAACGGCCATTTAACGATATTAAAAAATCTCACAATTAGAAACCTCTTTAAAACCGAATTATACTCTTCTTTTGAATTTGAAATTGGAAGAAGACGTGATTTTCTACCGAATAAGTAAAAGAATGAATATTTTTATGCATGCTTTCCATGGAATATAATTGAATTTTCAAGGGCATCGAAAATCAATGAGACAATTGCATACTATTTAAGTAGTCATTTTTGCCGAGTATAGATCTTGAATGCAGCCGAAAATAAGTTCTTTCGAAAGCCGACACCCTGATGTAACTGGATCATTATAGATTTATGCTGCAGCATGATAAGTTTTACAACACTACAGAATTTATCTTTTCGAAACGAGAACGCTTTCGAAAGTTTGGTTGGCATTTCATGAGTTAGCACATCTACTGTACTTCACAAGTAAAATTAGTAAACGTGCTGGTACGATGCTGTGAGCGGAAATTTTACGTTCTTAAAAAATCTAATCATCTGAAACATTTTAAAGCAGAACGATACCATTTCTACGAGTATAACATTTTGAAGAAGACGTAATTTACTACCAAATTAATATAGGAGAGATTTTTGTGCACCTTTTCTATGAAACACGATTGAATTTAAAGAGCGCCGAAAGTCAGTGAGAAGACTCTACACTACTCGCGTAGTCATTCTGTACGAAGTGTAGTCTTTTTCAGACGGCCGAAAAGACGCTCACTCAGAGGCTGGCATCCTGGTGTAACTGAAATATCTTAGCATTATGCTGCACGACAGTTAATACTAAGTAATCTTTCGGAATCAAAATTCAAATCTCACAATCTCGGTCATCTCATGAGATAGCACTCCTACTGTATATTTGTCAAAATGCGCACTGGTAAAACTTACATTTTACCCCCCCCCCCAAACATCAGGGCGGAAGGGGACACATGATAACTAACCCAAACAAATATGACAAGCTCATTATTTTCCTCTTGAAAAGGTGATTTTGTGTACCTGAATTCAGGAACGGCTAGGGAGGCTCTCCGAATCTTTAGAAGCTCAAAGCCCCGATCCAACTCTGCTCGCTGACGCATTACAGCGCAGAGATGCCACATAGCAACCAGGCAAACAACGTCTTTACCGCCAGTGCCAGTGCTATTAGGGAGGTTGCAGGACGGCCGAGAGCAGAATTCAAAATCTAGAGGTCGTTTTTAATTGAGTAATCAGTAAATGTGCCCAACCCATCTATCTATCTGTTTGTCTACCAAAAATCGATTATGACTGACGATGGTAAATAGGCTAGGGATGAACACTCTGGTCTCCTTACGTCCTTGCCGGTACGACTTTTGGGCAAGAACGGAGTGCGTCACGGAAAGGGGGAAGGAAGGTATCTCTAGTCTGGAGTAAGCATTTTCGTCCCCCTCCATGGAAGAAAAATGCTGAGAAAGGCGCAGTTTTGTTTGAATATGAATTAATAAGTCAGAGATGTTTCACGCACATCGATATACATTAAGTAAAAGAGAGGAGGGAGCAGGTTAGATCCGGACAGTACAAGAGGTGAATACAGACAGAAAGCACCCGAGGGGTTATTTATAGTAGGGCGGACGGGCCACTTGGATTCCCCGATCCCTCAGCGCCGCCAATAAGCAATCCACGGTGAGAGTGGGGCGTTTGTCGGTCATTGGTCGGGAGGCCGAGGGGGTTCGTTGGGCTGAAAACAATAGAGGAAGGAGATTTCCGGCCATTCAGATCTCAATAGAGAAAATGCTCACTGGTTGAGGACTACTGCCGGAGGAAACTGATAACTCCGACGAACCAAAGGCTGCGCATGGGGAAACGCGACAGTACTGACAGGAGGTAGGGAGAAAGAGAGGGCGGACAGGCGCATACAGGGTTACAACAACGAATACAACCTTGGGAATTCCAAACAGGTTTTGTACGGCTTTACACCTTCTGGTAGCAACTGGGAAGACACGGCCGTGCGTATCCGATATTTCGGGTCCTTACAATTGCAGTGATTGAAGACATGACAAACAAGCAGTTTTGGAAACTGCCACCGTAGTGCAGACAGGGCTGGCCAGCGAACGATTGGCTAAGTTCGTGATCTATGGCAAAAATCACGCCTAGAAGCAGCACAGCGCACGCTGACTGCTGCTCTCCATTAGACCAGGTTTGCACTGTCAGCACTATCTTCAGAGGTAGGGCCTTCAAAAGAAGGTCAAGCACGAGCTCGCATGTACCACCATACCTAGTAAATTCTCCGCAGTAGTCTGCAATTCATTGACTATAGCTTAAACTAGAGCGCAAAAAACACAAGCTGGCAATGTGATAGGATTTGGGAAAAACTAAAAATGGGACGACAGCGATTCTCTTGGAATAGCTAGAAGTCCAGAGAAGGGTATTAGGTACACAAATGCGAACAAAGTATTAGAGACGGACAGAGTAAAAATTCACGAGAAAGCAAATCGAGGGATCTATCATGGAACCCCCAGACCATCCCCGAGGGTGACTACCATTAGCAGCTGGTTCGGGCAAGAAGGGTACGAGGCACTTGTTAAGTTTAGTATGCCCAAGAAGGCATCGAAAATGACTCTCTCGAAGGTGTTAAGAGCTTGAAGATAATACCTGTTAAATTGGCCGTATTTTAAGTCGAAAGGCAGAGAGAAAGAGAGTAGTCTAACAGGACAAAGACCCCTTGAACCGCCACGCCACTCGTCTGGAAAAAAGAGCAAGGTAGAAAACTCGCACAAACATTCCATGAAGGTGGTCCGTTGTCAGTGCAGCACTTAGCGGGTGTATGGTGTGTCCCAAAACACAAGACGGGATACAAATTACTCCGGTGAAGCAAGAAACAGGCCACTCCAGTAGGCGGGTACTTGGAGAAGGTCACCATCGTGTCGGCGGTATGGTGAGCGGGACGTATTTGGGTACCGTAGGGGTTTGACGACTATCCGCAAATAGAGGTACTGTAGTATGGTACGGAAAAGTCCAGGAGAAAGCGCAACGCGACCACCCGCGATGGCGTACCAACACTGTCGGCAAGTTTACCATGGCGGTCGGCGTGACAATCATGACCGAATTTTAAGTGTTAGGGAAGACAGACTGAAGGTGATTAACACTAGGTTGTAGTATCTGAAGATACACTTTTGGTCTGATGGTACAGTGACGGGAAAACCGCTGCACACATCAAGTACACCCTAGAAGGTAAAGACTGGACCAGCGCGGTTCCAGAATGTCGTTAAATATAGGAGGCAAACACGGGCGGTGAGCACAGATCAAACTGCATGGTCGTAACGACCCGACCCAACATGGGATTTATGACTTCGGAGATCTCCATAACTAGCATTATAAAACTCGAGTGCAGTGGAACAGTCCAGTGCCTTCAAGAATCGTTATACTTAGCTAAGAAGTATTATGTTAAGATACCTTCGTTGGTAGAGAATGGACAGTATTCGAGGAATTATTCGATGATGCCTCCGTCGATTACCTAAGTCGCTGAGACCCCACTATCTTCTTCCCCCCCATACCGGCGGTAATTCGGAGTCAAACTGATTGGGGATGAGACTGTGCTCAGCGGCTGAGGTGGCGTGGACTCCCGTGAACACGTGTGCAGGACAATGACTAAGGCCTAACGAAAACCCGGACCACTTGTGCATGCCATAAGCCAACGAGGCTACAGTTTTGGCCCAGTGTGACAACGACGCAAATAGGGGGGGGGAGGGGGAGTATGGTTTATAGGTTAGGATAGGGAGTAGATAAAATGAATAACCTACCGGATTTGGGCGACTGCTGTGGGGCCCCGCTGGTTGGTGTGGCTGCAACCCCGGGCGAGGCAGATGGGCCTCCCGAGTCGGAGTGTGTGGCTGACGCGACGCCGGTTTGCTCCCCTGCCGCCGCGTTTGGGGTCGACGTCGGTGCAGGGTCAGACTGCTTCAGCAGCAGGCCAGTGGACTGCGAGTTGGCCAAGCGCCACTGGTGCATAGAGTCCAAGAGGATCTCTGAGAGAAACTTCTGACCAGCTAGGCTCACCAGACGCGCCAGACGCACGTCGCCATCACCAGCGTCTAGTCGAACTCCCGCAGACTCCAGCATAATGAGGGAAACTCTGTCTGGGATCTGGTGTTGCAGAAAGAACAACAAAAACAGGGCATACAGTGGATGATGCATCCAACACGCTAATAGTATGTCTTGTAAGTCAACGGCAATCATCCAAGATTCTGCTCTGAAAAGAGCTCACAATGCAGTTCTGACGACTCCGAGTACCAGTCCGCATAAAAAAACGACGGCCTGGGCTCCACTAGAGAACCTTGTGAAAAGTGGCCGGAGGGGAAGATTGTCGAACTACAGCTGAGTTAGACCTCTTCTTAAAATGGCAACCAATAGAGTAGTGTTCTACGCAGCGAATCCGGACCCCAGTAAAATAAAGCCGGAGGTAAGCATGCGCAACTCCACTTTCGCGGTACCTATTCATACCGACAACTCGTAGACGGCTCCGCACTACTGACTGAAATGTGCCTGCCAGTCCCAACGAGCAACCAGTAGTGCGCTGATTGTCTTCAAAGCAAACGGACCCCTCGGAGATTTTTAAAAACGTCACACTACTCCTCGGCGTCAGTGGATCTTTCTTTAAAAGACTCGGAAAAAGGCCAGCAGCTCCACGGTCGCAGAGTCGAGCTCAAAAGAATTACATTCTAAGTAATACCTGTCGTTGTAGGAAGTGCTCCACACCCGTGTTTGCCATAAGTCAGTGGTGGAAGCTACCTCATAAGGTGTTAAGCGAAATTCTGATTCGAAAAGATTACTTGAGTGGGGTTGTAACATTAATCATCGCGCAGCATAATCCTGAAACATTTCAGTCACACGAGAACTCTGGGTCTTGAAAGGGCTTCTTTCCGGCTGCCTGTAACAACTGAACACTGTAAAAAATGGCTACTTAAGTAGTGTGGATTTCCCCCCCCCCATTGATTTTCTATGCCCTTGTAAATTAAAATATACTTCATAGAAATCATGCACAAAAATATTTTTTCTTGTACTAATTTGGTAGCAGATAACGTCCGCTTTAAATTTCATGCTTAAAAACGGAGTATTTGTTCGATTTTAAAGTTTCTCATTATGAGATCTTTTGAGACCATTAAATGTGTATTCATAAAGTACCGTATCTGCTTATAAAATATGCAACATGGTTCACATCCATTGCAAATTCTTACGTATGACGTCTTTTTAATAGCATGCAGAAATATACGGTTTTCCTTACATAGAAAATATACAGCTTGGAGTCTGGCAACCCTAAGTGCAGGCGCAATGACAGATCGGGTTCAAAATTAATCGGAATTCAAAAGCGAAAGAATTTCGATTAAGACTACGTAACATTGCCCATCTACTGTATAAGCGCACGCAAGTCTGACGTTAGAGCCTGGTGCCCCCAGCTACGACTCCAGCTATTATGTAGCGTTCCTTGAAGGTTGAAAGTATAGTAGAAAGGAGACTACGTGAGGGAGAGACAAATAATGAATGGATTAATAGTATTATCGACCACGACGATGGTAAAGTGCCGAGGGGCAAAATCAGGATCCAGGCCAAATATCGTTTCCTACCAGGGTGTTGGGAGTGTTCCGAAGATCACGATTCCAAAAAGATCCAGCATGGACAGGGGTTGTCAGTGCAAAGGTATGCGGAAGTCGGCTGAGTAAACGAATGACATGGCGCCTCACGGATCGGTCTGGTTGGTCACTAGCGAATTCCTCTCACTGTGGCCGTGGCAAATACACTTTCCGCATCTGCCTTCACTGTCTGCACTGTTCACACAAATTCATACATCGCATGCGCCTATTCGGTCACATGCGTTTCCACAATAGTCGAATTCACCGTAATACCGACACACCTAACACACCCTCCATATGCACCGACTCTTCCATCCGCAGTCCAGACAACTCCTCATTCATCAGTGCGACCACCGCTAGCAGCACCAAAACGGCAACCGACTTAGCATCCATCGCACGGAGACTGGCGAACCAGTGTCTGAGGCACTGACATACACCATCGCCTCAATTGCCCGCATTCCTCTCGCACATTCAGCAATTGAATGGGCCTATTTGGTCACATGCATTTTCATGAACACCTGCGGTAAATCACCGCAGACATGACCATATAACCACACATTCGCCCGTCAACACACGCCTCACAGAAGAACGCCTCGAATATTTCACACCATGTAAGTGGGAAGTGTGATTTTTGGCCTCCCTCTCCATGCGGCTATTCCGCTGTGTGAGACTCGGGTGACCTACCCCTGTGCGTGTAGCGAGCGCAGACGAGCGGCGCTGACCTCAGTCAGCCAATGTTAGCATCAGTGGGCTGACCGACTCGGACAGTTGACTGGTGCATGAGATGGGGTGGAGCGAGTGAGGTCGATTCTCAGCGCATAATTCCTGAGCATAGGCAATTAGATGCGCCTAAGACTATCACGGTGCGCTAGCTGTGGCCTGGAAGGTTCCCAACCGACGCTTCGACTCAGACTACGCTGTTAGCCTAGCTGTGTTTGTGTGTTAAGTACTCGACTGGTTAACTGAGAGCCTGGTCGCAATGGCTCCTTCTCAGTGTGACCTCTATGGCAGTCCTATTTGGTGAGGTCCGAGCCGCCAATCTATTCTATTGTATAAAATCCTGGTCGGTGTATGCCGTAGATTAGAGGGTGTGGTGGTACGCCTAGGTGCGGGTTTTCGCTGTGCCAGTCACCTGTGCTCTCTTCCGCCTCCGGTTTTCTCCACTCTGTCGTGACAACGGGCCCAGGTGGAGGAGGGGAGGGTACGGTAGACGCAACACATGTCTACTATCACTATAATGGAAATCAAGCGAAAATCACTCTCCCTGCTCCCACCCTTCTGTAGAGCACACGGTGGACACCGTCGGTCAGGACGTTCGAACTGCCGTGCCTGAAGACCAGCTTTATAGAATTGTGGCCTACCCTTCTAATGTTATTTCAGAAAACCGTTTCCTTGGTTTCAGACGGGAATGAGGAAAAACAGACCATCCGTGGGTCGCCTTAGGATCGGGCCCGCGAAGTCCGCTCTATAGTGAATCTGTTTACACAAATTTGGTCGCGCTTCCAAGTTTCTCGACGAACCGAAAAGGCTGTTGGCGCCTAAATTCTGAATCGAGAGGCTGTGATCCGGTGGTTTTAGGGCTGAGTATTTCAACTCCGGGGATTTCTCGCGCAAGAGGCCCCTGAAAGTTGGTACTGACGAACAAAACATGGACAACCAGAAAATAACATGTCGCCAGTCTGGTCTTAGTTAGGGACTTGTCTGACGGGGTTCTCCGTGATCTGTCCTACCATGAAAAATGGCGCTGTGTCGATTCTGCTTAAACGTTCTTCCCCGACCTGCAGGCGGGCAACTCCAGCGAGATACACATACTTGTTGCTGACGATGAGACGTGAGTGTAGTTGTATTAGTCCCAGACACGAAACGGCGAAGAGTTGCGAAAAGTCGCTCCAAAAGAAATCTAAGCGTGGAAATCGATCAAGAAGTCATGGTCGCAATCTTCTCCCTAGCAAAAGAACCATCGCCCAGGTAGGCAAGCGAGAAGACAGACTATAGTGTCTGCTTGGTGAGTGTCTCTCCAAGATGCAATTATTTGGCTGGTCCCCACAATGATGAGTATGGGCATGGGGCCGAAACTCCCGGTGGACTTTCCGCACGATCCTGAAATCGACTTCGTTGAGCACACGCCTTATTCGCCTCACTGTCTTGTCATTTTCCTCGCTTTTCAGAAATTAAAATAAAGCTGCCCGGAAAGCGACTTAAGACGAATCCGCCCCGCAGGCTGTTCAGGTCGAATTTAACGGTCTCAAAGAAACGCGATCTCGAGGAGCATATTATGCTTCAGTTTTTTGCCTCAAAAAGTGCGTTGACACTAATGGAAAATACACCGAAGTTGAATGAAAAGACGAAGACGTATAAGAGAAAAATGTCACAACTTTCCGACTGTTTAGACACCAGAGGATGCGCAACTTTCCCGGCACCGTTCATAAAGAGGATGGCTACGACAAACCAAAATCTAATGGAAAACGTCGACTAACACTCACTGTTGGCTGAATCTGGCCAAGTCTGTCGTAGAGTTCATTCAGGAGGTCCACTTCGGAAACATCCGGCTTAGAATCAACAACAGCATTTTGGTCGCCCGTTTCCAGGTTGCCAACGAGGGATGCAGACTTGCGCGCGGGTCCGCCCAGTGTCATCTGTGCAAGCTATGTTAAATTGAAGTCATAGGAAATGAACATGTTGGAGACAAACCACAGGATCGCACGGTCAATCTGAGACAGAAAAAGGGGGCGGGAAAGCATTTATTGCCAAAACTTCAGACAGTATTCAGGTGTAAATGATTGTACATCACAGATAAGACAATCTCCTAAGAGAGATAGACTAGAATGGGACAAAGGTCGACTTTAATCAGTGTTCAGTCTGTGAATAAGGTTTCGGTCCCAATCAGCATCAATGAGAGCAAAAGCCTGTCTGAGACGTGGAGATCTGGCGTCCTCGTCGAGACGGCTCTTCGCATCTGCCCACTGCCAGAGGCGCCGCAGCAGACCGCTCCGCAGAAGACCCCTGATCCAGGGGGTATGACGACCGTTGTAGGTCCCTGTCGTCTCATTTTGATCGTTTGGCATAGAGTTCAAGTCGGTGCAGGCAGCTGCCGTTTCGATTTTTTCTAGGCTTTTCCAAGCCGTAGCCGAAACCTCCTCTGGATTGACGTGAAGGAAGTTAGACGCGACGTCATCACAAACGGAGGTAGGCAAGATACTAACCAGAAGGTAGTCGATCTCGCGTTCAATCCACTCAACATCACCTGGTGGTTCATTCTGAGCACAGTAAAGAATTCGCGTGAGAAAGTGGATGTTCTCCAGCGGTAGCAGGCACCGAGAGTCGATCCCAAGTTCATGCCTCACCTAGAAGAAGGGATGGGCACAAAAGGACCCCTTTAATCTTCTCTGGTTCGGTGTCAGAAAACCGGCTGGGCCGATGCAATGTTTAGCTGGTTAACCTTTCAAAGGCAAAGCAGTCGAAAGAGAGCAAAAAATGAAGGAAAAAGTCGATGGATAGTGACGACGACGCAATAGAGACAACTCACTGAGATACCTGACAGCAGTTTAACCTGAAGTAGCTACTTTTCCAACGAGGCGAAAGACTTCGTCTCAAACACTCGGGTCCTGCTGACAAGTTTAAAAAGCTGTAGAACTATCAACCGAAGAGTCAAAACACGACTGTGAATTTTCAGAGAAGTATTCATTGTGCAATATTAGATTCTCAATTCCAACGGTAACTAAAAATCTCTAGAGAAAAAAAAACACGCCAATTAAACGTTGTAGGAGTACTCTTGGAAGATTTCCAATTCCTATATATGGTTTTGAATCATCAGCATTCTCCGGAACTGCATTAGAATTTGCCCGGAGCGGTAAAGAAGATGGATGTCTGACGCATCGCATCGCCGCAAAGAAATACTTGCTTTTAGACGAGTTTAATTTCACTGTTTGTAAGCCGACCTTCATTTTTAGCATTGATACAGAGAAAAATCGAGTTTGGGGGCAAGTGTAGAAATATACTTATGTGAGTGCATGAAATATCCAGCCGGTTCCATGCTGTGAGTTTAACGCGTTATAAATGCTTTCCTTACACTGTAGTCGGCCAGAGACAGTCTTCGGCAATCAAGCACATTCTCGAAGTTAGCTTCTACGGGGTCCATCTACGTCTTCAGTTCGAACTAACTATCATACTGAATGATGAATGATTTTGCATTCACTTCCGTGTAGGCAGTGGGCGAACAATTTCGGTCGGTGAATAAGGCGCAGCTCGTAGATTTGTCTCTCAGATGACAGCATGGGTGTTTATTTGAGACGTGGTCGGCAAGTGGAACACATGTACTATCGACTGAACACTTTCGGACGTTGGACAGTCCCTGAGCGCACTGAGCCTTGTTCACACGAAGGACTTTCCTGACAGAGGGTTTGCAGCTCGCTCACCGACTGACCTCAAGACGACTCTAGAGGTTTCAACGAGACGCACGTGACTGACCAACTACATTGTTTTCTTTTTCCGCTTCAAAGACCCAAACAAGGACTGAGAGAAGATAGCCTCGACGAACGTCGATATGGTGGTTGTCACTGCAAAACACCGGTTCAGTGGTGCTTGAGGGAAAAGCCATTTCTCAATTGGCGAATAATATAAAAATCTTATACACAGAGACTAGGAGCACCGGTACTTTGCTGAGGTACAGCTATACTCTGTGCTTCAGGGCCATAGTAAGGTAAAGAACGATCCCACAGATGGTTGCGCTGGAACAGAGCAGTCGTCGGACGGGCTCGCGGCACGCGTTCGTCGGGTTGCGATGAGTCCTCGCCGGCCATAACTGTGGCGTTTGGTGGCACACCTTAGATGCAGGCCTACAGGTCACCGTCAAGCAGAACTGCGCACAGTAGCGTTTATGTTAATGAAATATAAATATTTCCGCATGTGATTTAGACAAAGAACCATACGAGTATTTTAATCATGCAGACGGAAATTTTAAACATGCACATCAGATATTCGGAAGACGTGGGATGTAAGCTTAGCTTTCGCTTAGTTACAACATTATCAGGAATAGAGATTACATGGAAAGAAGAGAGCACGCGTCCCATCTCGAAAGACGACGAAAAACTATATGCCTGAGAACACTACGTAGAAAACGCCCGAGTAGTAATATATTGCAATGACAGTAACTGTCGACTACCTCAATCGCAACCGTAATTGATTTGCTAGGTGGAAAATATGCCCTCTACGCTTGGTCTTGCACCGCGGCATACTACAGTCGAGGGCAATTAAAATCAGTACTTATAAGGTAGATTAAAGTCCTAAAGCAGGACAACGTACGTCCGAGTCAATGAACTTGTAGTTTAATGAGACAGGAACTTTCAGGACACATTACTTCGACTTCAAAGTCGGCATGGCATTTTCCTTCAGATTAAATTGCCGCTTCTCTTAAACAGCGGGCTAGATACCAAACTTTCAAATCTCAGCGCAAAAACATGACGCCAGCGAAAGAGATCTATTGGGATCTGTTTTATTGTTCATTAAAAGACTACAAACTAGACTAATTAAGTCCGCGGGTGAGACGAAAAGTGCCTCACTCCTACAGCCGAGCAGCTGTAGAGGAAACATCCGTTTCTACTAGACCTCTTAGAACAAAAGTCAGGCCTGTCTGAGTACATGTTGGACGTCGTCCTATCAACGAAGACACGTCAGCCATTTAATCACTAACCGGAAATTTGGCAAACTGACCAGTAAATGCAATGCTGGTCGAATGCACTTCTAGGATCGAATTTCCGAAATTTCATTAAAAAGTACTTTTTAAGGAACCCTCAAGCCTAATGTGTGCTAAACCTGATGTAAGGGGGTCATAGTTATATTTGCGTAGGCCCTCACTCATGAAAGACGAGGTTTCAGACCTCGGAAAGGTTATATATTATTAACTCCAACCTTCTCTGTAATATGTACAATCTATATGATGGCAATATTCTCTATCACTTAGATTTTGAGAAAACATTTAATTTTGACATGAACATGTCAATTGTGAAAAAACGGTTGTAGCATGCAAAGGAGCAAGCTCATCTGCGAAAAACCATAAGAACTTCCGGAAACTGAGCGGTGGAATGTGAAAAGTCAGACGAAGGTTGGTCAATAAGAAGAAATTCATAAAGTTCAATTCAAGGCAAATAGGCATTGATGGGCCACAGAAATCAGTTAAAATGTGTTATTTTAGCGTGTGAAGCCTAGCTGTAAACGCAACATGCTCAGAGGACAGACCAACCGTCTTCCAGGTTGGCCTAAGTCGGAAAAGTCAGACAAGGAGCCTTCAGGTAGAGAGAAGGACGAGAGTTGTAGAGTGGGATGACAAAGTCGCACGTATCGGCAGTTCTGTCAAGTCATCAAATACTAACTACCGGCGTCACCGCTTCCGATCCTAAGAGGTATTATATCAACAAATATTCAAGCGTTTTCTTGAGAGACCAAGGAAATAAATGCAAGTATTCTAACCGAGGTCCAGCAAGCCCTCTTTAGAAACGAATGTTGTGAAGATTAAGTCCGTTGCTCATAAAGAAGCTCGGGATGTCATGTTTACAGAAAAGTAAATAGAATTCATTGAAGCAAGACTCCAAGGAACTATATACGACTGTCAGAGAACCTGAAGTGAAGACATGTCTGTGGGAGTTGAAAGTCAGTTATATAGAAGACAGCACTTATGAAAAACGTAGTAGCATTACGTTCAACCACAATGAGTGGCCCAGTTCAGTTTATTGAGGGAAAATACGTATGAGCTTTCGATCACCCTATTTGCAACATAAAATTGGGTTAAATGCACAGAGAACCCATGTGGGTCGGAATATTCGAAGGGTAGGGACAATAGTCAGAAAACTGGAGCATACGTCTCAAGGGGTGAGTTTAATCTCTCATTGTTGCATCTCATTTATTAGGACTTTCTGTGGCATCTGCTGCCATCAGTACGGGAGCACGCTGTTAGCCTTTAATACCCGAATTATTTCCTAAGAACCCCGTCCGGTATTGGGGCTTTGCGCATGCATTATTATAGCACGTTCCAATCAGTGGGGCTGCTTAGACAGGGGAAGTAAAAACTGGAGACCGGATTCCCAACACCAGAAAGTGCTCATAAACAGAAGGTTTCCAGATCTAATGCTCGAGAAGCCTGGGACAAACAATTCAGTGCGAACGGGTCTTGACACAAACGAAATTGCCCGTTTGGCAGGCTAGATTCTAGCATTTCTGGCCCTCAAAAAGCTGGCTGTGCGATAGTGTGCTAGGATGTTTAACAAGAATATTTACCTTTCTCTGAGCTGCAAGCCTCACTCCCAGGGCCTTATGCTCCTCGGTTTCACCCGGTTCATTTTCAAGTGGATGACTACAACATGTATTAGTCCATAAGTTCGGGAACGTAAGTTTTGTGGGTGCTCGTTTTTGGAGAAGCAGTTCCAGGTGCGGTGAACCGGACTGAGATTTTACTTTTCGGAATAGGAAGAGGCTAAAGGCACGATGAAGACGTCCTTTTTCAAAATGGCACTCCTATTATTCGAACGGTGCGCAGATGAGTGGCATACTTTCTTTGATGCAGTTGCAATGACTTCATCCACCTCATTTGTCACGAGACACATGTCTTCCATCATATGTTTGTTTTGAATAGCAGACGCATTTGATAATAAAACTTTCTGAAAATTTATTGCACTTCGAACTGTGCGCTGAATGTGTGTCTGGAGAAATATTTGAGAGGTACGGAAAGAGACCTCCATCTTGTGATTAATTGGGTTAGACGTCAAGGGTGGACTGTCCTGGATTTACGAGATTGGGGATCAGACCTGCAGACTCACGAATAGTCGGTTACCTGTCTTCAAATATTTGCCGGGATATTGTAGTAAGATTAGTGGATTGGTAAACTTGGCAAAACCCTTAAGATGACGCTTGGCAATATACTTTTTTAACAAAGAGCAGCTAGTTACATGGGTAAAAATGGATAAACAAAGTAAGCAGCGAAGTGGGTGGGACGGATGAGGGACAGATATCAGTAGAAAGCATTACAGCGTACTTCAAGCAGGAAATTGCGATAGGGACAAAAAAAGTGCAAGTAACGCAAAGAATACACTTACGGGGGGCAGTTAACGAGATGGAAAAAATTAGTTGACGAAATGTAAACGATGGGAACATTAAGCCCTCCAAGTCGAAATTTAGACTCAGAGTCAGAAGCACTGGAAAAATAAAACTATATTTTGCATTTTGCAAGCAGGGATAGCCAGTGCCGTGATATACATAAAGTAAGAGAGGGTGTTAAAGTCTAAGTTTGTGCGATTTCATGCAGGAAACTGAGTAAAAGTTGGCGGGAACTTAGTATTATAGACTGTCGTAAGCTTCTTCTTGATTGAAGATGTAACGGGCAAAGGGAACCGGGGAGGAGAAGCTGTTTTAATAGAGATATTTTGTATTCTGACTCGGTTTTTAACGTGGGTGACAGATCAGCCTATAATTGCAGAATAATGGCCGAGCACAGTAACGTTCTGTTTATTGTTCTGAGCTGTCGAACTTGTGCAGGAGTTCATCATTAGAGATAGTAGCAGCAAAAGAACAAGCGGAAATTATAAGGTGTGTTAGCCAATCAGCGGCCGACGGCGCAAGACTAGAGGCGACTGCGCAGGGCCCTGTACGCCGGCGCTTGATTGATAAATCGACTGATTGAGCTCTCACCCGAGGTCCAGACTTCAAATATTTTTCGGCCTGTTTTGTTTCAAGCGTGAAGAACTATTTTGGCAGCCGCAAAGTGAAACCCTTGACCCATTTCATAGGTATGGAGTCCACTTGTGATTATGCGTCGCCTCGTCACACGGCCAGCTTATTTTCGTGTATGCGCGACCCGAGCATGCGTCCAGTCTGGGCTGTGTAGTTATAAGGATAGTTTTGACACGCGATGTGATACACTGCTCCAGATTGCTCCTCAGGCGTTCACCGGTCTTTGATTTTAGTGACCTTATTGCGCATGGTGGTTTTGGAGCGGTGCGCAATTCCAACACCTAGATCCGTAGGAATGCGTCCGGTTGCTTTATAAATGTCCTAACTGTGTGGCAGAAAGTGCCAGAACGTTAGCGGTGTTAATGTTTTGGTCCTCTGGTGGCGACCGCGTAGGCAGCGACTTATGAATGCCCTCGGATAGCCATTTTGCACAAACTAGTCGCGGAGATAACGGATCTCACGCGCTCGTTCCTCTGGTTCTTTTTTGCAATGAGTTTGGATCCGTTTGAAGATCGTCGTCACGCAGCTTCGTTCGTGAGTCAGAGGATGGTTGCTATGAAAAATGAGGTGCGCAAAGTTCTTCGTCTTCCTATAAACCGCCATTTTAACATAACCGTTAAGATTTCGTCTGACGAGCACATCCAAGAAGACCAACTGCATTTCTTGTTCTTCTCCCCTCGTGAATCTTATATCAGATAATACTGCGTTGAGCAGGTTGTGAAAATGTTGTGGCATGCCCTTCTTTACGATAACAAACGTATCGCCTACGTAACGGCGCCAAAATACCAGTTTATGTTGTATGAAAGCAATCTTTTCTAACTCCTGTATGATCAGTTATGCCATTGAACCTGAGATCAGTGAGCATGTTGGACTTCCATAGATTTGTTCACGGGTCTTTCCAAAAAAGCTAACAAAGTCTGTTGACAGAATTCGAGCAACCTTAGGATTTGGGCAGTTTTGAGTACATTCTAAATCTCACTGTACCTCTCGTTCAGTCTCTTACGCAACACATCGCAGGCCAAGCTTGGTGGGATGGATGTGAACAAAGACGTCACATTAAAGGAGACCATGCTTTCGACTTATTGAAGCCTCCGACCTCGGAGGTCTATGAGAAATTGAGAGGATCACTGAACTGATGTAGTCTAATTGCCTTGGAGGAACTGCGGTTTTGAGTACATCCACTCCGCTAAATCATAGTTGGGACTGCCTTTTAGGGCAACGATTGGCCGTAGTGGGACATTTGCTTTATGTGTTTTTGACAGACCGTAGACCTGGGCTAGAGCAGTGTCAGCTGCCTTCCTTTGGTGCCATTCATTCTCGGTGATCACATTTTATCTCTGTATTCTCTGAGCAGTTTACGCAGTCGATCTAGCACTGCTTTGCCATGTGAGTTCTGTGGTGGTCTGAAAAATTTTCTGCCATCAAGAGGGATTTTAGCTGTTTCATAGTAGTCCTCTCGATTCATCACTACGGTTGATTGTCCCTTGTCAGCATACGGAATGATAATTCTGTCGTCCTTCCATAGTGTAGGTAGCATCTTTCAGCTGCGAGCCGCTGGAAGCACTTCGCACCAGAATTTTTCACGAATAAAGGCGAAACCTAAAGTTTAAGGTCATGTATAAGCGAAGAAGAAGGATGGTCGAGTACCGGAAAATTTTGCTTATTGTCCTAAACCACGTTTGCTACCTGTTTGCACGATTATTTTTGAGGTCAAAAATCTAGTCACGGCACACATCGATGACGGCAGCGCCAGGAGGCTCAGTTAATTAGTAAGCGAATTTAAGGATATCATCGACTGGGATGGCAAGTCCACGGGGGGTGGGGGAGACAAATATCACCGAGCATTACATAGACACGGGGGATATGAAACTCACCAGGTTTCCGCCAAACTTCTTATATTTTGCCAGAGAGAACTAGATACAGTCCTTATTGATATGCTTAGCCGAAATATTATTTATCCCTCTCACTCGACACCCAGTCCGTTGCCACCCTCACAACCGGCTCCGCTACCAGCAATGTGAGCTAAATCTCTCAACCGTCCTTACTGCGATCGAACCTTCCCTCCATCCGTTGGTCCGGTCGGTCACTTGTAACTCCATCACAAGGAGAGTGACGAACCAGTACCCGGATTTCCGACTCCTCACTTATCAGAGCAGTCTCTACTAACCGCATCATTTCTACAACCGACTCAGCAGTTTCCAGTTTGTATTGCTCACACGGTCACAGCATATACCCCGAACGCATAGGTCTGACCACTCATTTACGAGTCCATTGCACGGAGACTGGTGAACCAGTGCCTGCAACATCGAAATACATCCACAGAGCCCAAATTAACTGTTAGCAGTGCCCACGCACACACTGCCGCCGCGAGGCTCTACGTCGTCACACATGTCCCCACGTCACTTTGTGGGAAACCCCAGCGTCTAAACCCCACCAACCCATAAGCCACTCCCGAAACCCTGCATCGCCCACCGCTGACATGAAATTTGCCCCTAATCTAAGTGGGAGACAGATCTTCGCCCCCTTCTACTTGTGGCCGCTACGGTCCTATGGCGCATGAGAGGTCTGGTACGTCCACTAAATTTTTGTGAAGGCCTCGCAGGGCGTATGATGGGGAGGAGGTTGCGTGGCACGCTTAGCCGGACGGCTTTGCCACGACGGCAAATAACGTCCGATTCCGTGAAAAATGCCATGGCGAAACGACCTAGGTTGGAGGGAGGGCATTCAGCAACTAACAGTTGTGATCAGACGCCCATGTCCTTCAAGTTTCGCTTATCAAGCGCATGCGGCACGATGCCTGGGGTTCTATATGAGCAGCACACCGTGCACATCCACTGAACCCTGGGCAGAATACAGAATGTCACCATAAACAGTAGGCTGTGGACCCCACCTAACAAGTGCGAAATCGAAAAGACGGTTAACGATTTCAAGCAATTGTCCCACCCCGAGTTGCGGCGAATCAAACTGTTGCGACGGTGGTATCATACCCCTTTCCGATTGCTGAATAATTTTGATTCCGAGCGGCCGATATATTAACATTCAAAGTTTCCAAACTACAAGCTTTAAATTTTCCGTGTACTGAAAATCGTTTATTGGTACAAGTTATTAAGGGGATGTCATATAGGGTTGATAAAATTTAACATTGGATTTGAGCTTTATCGTAAGCTTTACAAGCCACGACAGTTGATGCAGAGACAGGATGTTTTATGAACATGCATTTCAGGTCTTTAATGAAACCTCCTATACACCGAATTGCACTCATCCTTCAAGTGTAAAATCTACAGATGTAATTTTCTTCCAAAAGGAGTAAGAAAACGAGCATGTTTATGCAAGCCATCTGTGAAATATATCTGAATTTATAGAGGTAACGAAAGTCAGTGATAAAAATTCGCATTACCTATGTAGTCTTTTTGTAGAAGGGAGTTTTATACAGGCGGTCGGAAAGATTTTCGCCGGCTTCCTGAAGTAACTGAATTAATTCGGGATAATGCTGCACGATGATGGAAACCACAACCCCAGTTATGCAAGCTTTTCAGGTCGAAATCGGATTTCGGAATTCTGACTGAAATTTCATGACTTAGCAGATCTACTGTACCTCACTCGAAGACGGTAGCGAGTATGAGTTGACTATTGGACAGCTAACGTACGCAAAGTCAGTAACATGGCTAGAATACCAAACCATGCGATTGACGCTTACATGTTTTCCCTAGGTCCCCATATGCAGTATTTTGTGGAAATAAATCCTAGGTACGTTTATGAGCATTTTGGAGCGTGACATTGTCATTCATAACAACCTCATGCACTTACCGGGCCATACACCTTCTTATGTTCCAGCAGGCAAGCAGCGAGTTGCCCGACATGCGTGTTGTGTGCAATCCGAACGGAAGAC